CCCAGTCGAAAGGGGATTCGCTGACAGTAACTTGGGGCTCGGCCTTGGTCCAATGCATCAAAAGGTTGTGAAAACTAATCGAAATGGTGGACATTTAGGTGGAGATTTATGTCCACAAAAAAAAGAGGGGATGTTGTATTCAAATTCAGAGCCAAATGGGCCAGGCATGTAGACATCCCACACTTTTCGGCCATACGATGGGAAGGGGTGCAAATTGAGCCGCTGAATGGCCTGCACCTGTTCTTACTCACAAGGCACGAGACGGGTTGCTTCCATATGAGCGCAATTCAATGTGGGCCCTTCTTGCGGACGGAAAAGCACAAGTGGGACATGCGCCGAGGTTCTGCTTGACATCGTGTCACGCATAGTCCAAGCGAAAAGTGTTCGCAAGATTCCGCCCAGGCAGCACCTATCATGGCTGAGGCCTGCGTCCAAGCACCTCGACCTTCTGCAGTTCAATGCTAGCCACGTGCTCTGAATATCTCAGTAGACTCCCTCAGATATGGAACCCCCAGAAGAAAAAAAAACTAAACTCTTCTTTGGTGATGTTTGTGCCCTTTGGGCCCCTCGTTTTGGCTTCCACGTGGCTGGGAACTTCAACTAGGGACCCGAAATGGTGAACATCAATTTTGGTGGGGTGTCACGTCCACCCCTTTTGAGGTGGCTCCCCACTAAAATTCCGTCCGCCATCCGTAGGCCAAACAAGAGCTAAAGCCCCGCCTGCGAAGATGGCCAAATGCGGTACGCCCTTGTACTTCCAATCCGACCTCCCCGCAATTCAACGGAACCGACGCAGCAATGGGGCGGGGAGGCAGCTCAATGTGGGACTCGGAGATCCATTCTATGGAGTTCTAAATAGGGAGGTATGGGAAGCAGAAAGTCACCGATCCCTTGACTTTCGCTGATGAACAAATATGGGCCTAGCTAACACCCAGTGTTCTTTGCAACCCAAGGATACCAAGCTTGGCTTTCCAATTTTAGATCTTCACCGCATATGATGAACACCGATATGTGGAATATAGCCCCAACATGAATCACCTATATGGATCATGTTTAGTGTTTCTCCAAACTCCCCCATCTTGAGCTGGCCCGCTTCTTGCGCACCAAAATTAAAATTGTCCCTGACAAATCCCAGTGGGTTTGACCTATGGGCATGCGATTGTAGCAGGTGCTAAGCGCATGCAGAAAGGCCATTCAAGAAAGACTCAGGGCAGTAGTGGCGATAGTGGCAGTAGTGGCCGTAGTGGCAGTAGTGGCAGTAGTGGTAGTAGTGGCAGTAGTGGTAGTAGTGGCAGTAGTGGTAGTAGTGGCAGTAGTGGCAGTAGTGGCAGTAGTGGTAGTAGTGGCAGTAGTGGCAGTAGTGGCAGTAGTGGCAGTAGTGGCAGTAGTGGCAGTAGTGGCAGTAGTGGCAGTAGTGGCAGTAGTGGTAGTAGTGGCAGTGGTGGCAGTAGTGGTAGTAGTGGCAGTAGTGGCAGTAGTGGCAGTAGTGGCAGTAGTGGCAGTAGTGGTAGTAGTGGCAGTAGTGGCAGTAGTGGCAGCAGTGGCAGTAGTGGCAGTAGTGGTAGTAGTGGCAGCAGTGGTAGTAGTGGCAGTAGTGGTAGTAGTGGCAGTAGTGGCAGTAGTGGTAGTAGTGGCAGTAGTGGTAGTAATGGCAGTAGTGGTAGTAGTGGCAGTAGTGGCAGTAGTGGCAGTAGTGGCAGTAGTGGTAGTAGTGGCGGTAGTGGCAGTAGTGGCAGTAGTGTCGGTAGTGGAGTGACTTTGCTAGGGAAACCTGTTGAACCAAAAACGACACCTTCTTGGGCTTGACCGAGGCCAACGACCTACTTGAAGGCGGCATTTTTGAGCAAACATGTGTGGGGTTGTCAATAATCTGCGGCCCTTTTTTGGTATTGTATCACCTTTAAACGGCGGCACGATGCGGCACCAGGGTTTCAAAAGATGCATTTCTTTGAGAAAGCCCCATGTATGCTTCATTGTTACAAAACAGAAAGCCCTCCAAATGTACCAAATGTTGGCATGTATTACCGTATTACCTGCGTGGATTGCTTGAGGCCCTGGGAAACGTGTGACGCAACCATCCAGCACATGTCCATTGGCACGGTCCATTGCCAATGTGCTTCGACGCGATGCAAATTGTCTTGACCGTGTCCAAAGAGGCGAACAGACATTGCATCCTGCGCGCAGCTAATCGAGGCACTCAAACTTGGCCAACGCTCAACCCCGTAACTTTGGATATAAACCCTCTTGGTTCATGGTTGCAAAGGTAACAATGTAAGCTACTACCAGATCGACACATTTCAAGATGACCCCGTTTGGGTGTGACTTGCCTCTGAAGCGGGACTGGGGGAATGAAAGAGGCCCCCTGACGCTCTACTTGCTCCAGGAAGTTGAAAAGATAGCCCGCTTTCCCAGAAGCATCCAAGACAAGTAGGTGTCCTTGTGGAAAATAGTCAGCACATGCACAGGTAAGTGAAAATTGCACCAGCCTACCAGAAGAACATGTCTTTCATGTCGCTCAACCAAACAGACACCTCGTTCTGCCTTAGTTTTAGTCCTTTTCAGGTTGCTTCAAAGGGAGGCCAAAAGAAACACCCAACATTTTAGGGTGCCCCAGCTTTGACAAATTCCCGTATTGCCAGGAAGAAACTCACAGCCCGTGCGCGAATAAGCGTCGCGCACACCGGGCATGAACCGCGCCATGGGCGCGGCGTTCTGGCAGGCGGGGTCGGGTCACTCGTATCCGCCCTCTACAGAGGGCATCTTGATAAAAAGAAGCAAACAAAAAACGCAGCATCGTAATAAAAATCATAATAATGAAGACAATAACCATAAACAAGAAATGACACCACCCCTGATTCCTCACACAGACTCTTGCGCTTTTCTGGGCCTCCGTTGTTTGGCTGTCAACGTGATTTAACGATTCACCGCGTGATGCGTTCAATCGGAATTTTCTCTCTGGTCAACGGCTCAAGATTCCTGGTTTGCGGGAAGCTCTGCAACCAGAATCCTCAGACAACCACAAGCTTGGATCCAAAACACCCCAACTGGAAAGCAAGAGATGGCTTGTCCAGCTGTGATTGGCCCTTCAAGGAAGGCACAACTCCAGGCATTCATTCATCCGATCCGCCTAAAGAAGCGCATTTGACTTTCCTTTGAAGTCATTTGCCAACTCTTGACTTGCCAGCCCATGTCCATCAGTGCAGCCCCGGCTGTTGAAACCTCATCGCAAAGGGGGGTGCTCGACCCAAAGTGCGTTGGGGGCGGGGGGTGATTAGGAAGTCCCAAATCGGAAGTGGACGACTGCCAAAGGAACCCACCCATGTTTGGGCCCAATGAACCAAAGCTGAAGTGCAATGCCGAAATTCGCGTCTGACGTGATGACTCCGGTCCTGGTAGTTTGGAGATTCAGAGGCAGCTTCTCATTTGGCTTCAAGGAGGCTGGATTCCAACTCCGGGAAAATGCATACCAACACTTCAGGGTGACCTGATTCTCGCTTGCTGAGCTGACTGGAACTGGCCGAACCAACCTCTCATTGTTCAACGCATCAAACGCGTTCTTGGTCATCTCCCGTGGGTACTGCCTCAACCAGTGTCACGACAAGCGCACAGCCCCAAACAAACAACCCCGGGCACCTGAAGCTGATGCCCCCCCGTTGATAAGCAAATCGGAAGCAATGTGTTCCATGATTTTGTGATATTGCCAGCAATATATTGGGAGGTTTCTTGGCCCATTTTGTTCCTGCCCTGCTCAGGCTGGCAAAAGCCCAGTTTAAAAAGTCGCTAAGAATATTTAAGACTCGCATGTGGGAACATGCGCAAACACCTTATGCATTTCTGCCAAATTATTTTGCGCCAATGATGCTTGATTGCAGTCCGTGGCCTTAGTAATTGCAGTCCGCCCTTGAGTGGGAAACGGATTTCTGTGTCAACACAGGGATTCGGACACCCGAAAAAGGCTTCGGCGTTCTTTTTGGTACCCCTGCCAAACTGAACTTGCTGGTTCTCTCGGAATGAGAAATGGAATGGCTCCCCCCAAAAAAAAGCCCCCATGAGTCGTTTTCAGGGCTGTGGGGAATGACCACTTCTGTGATTCAACAGAAAGGGCTTCCCAACGACTATTTTGTTCATGTAAAGGGGGATTCCCTTGTATCACAGAAGTGGGGAGAAACCCCTTGATCCCACCCTGGTCATTTTCCTTTCAGGGAATCCCCTTCCAGTTCCTTCCCAACACACGGCCTCGGTCATTCCCTATCAAAGCCGTGCCTGGGGCTCGTAGAAGGTCCAGCGGCTCGTGTCCAGGTCGTAGCCTTTGCGGGCAAATCAAGCCAATCCCACTTTGGGTATTTTAGGGGACGCTTGGATTTAAAAAAAAAAAAAACATCTTTCCAGAGAAGAAAACCAGCAGAACCCCAGGGGAAACAGCTGATTTTTTGTCAAGAACGATGGTTGAAAAGAATGGGGAATGAACCCCCCCATTCTTTCCAGGGATCGGAATCTTTCCAGAAAACCATCAGAACCCCAGTAGGAACAGCTGGCTTTTGAAAAGAACGATGGTTGGAAAGAATGGGGAATCAACCCCTAGAGGTCTGGGAACTTGGGTCCGGACATTTTTGTGCTTTGTAGGTTAGGGTCGTTTTTGCTTGGTAGGGCGTTGTAGTAGTTGAAGGCTTTGCTTTGCTAAAGTTTGGCGCGGCGGAGCAGGTGCTTCTCCGCTTTTCTGGGGCCAGGGCTGATTCGAGGCCAGAAAGTTATAACGGTCGGTCTAGACTATGCCGGAGTCAGGATGGGTTTGAGGCTCAAACTGGCTTTTGCTCGGTTGGAGGTTGGGCTGTGGCTCGGTGATGACGCAGTTTCGAAGTGTAGAAAGTTGGGAGCGGTACAGAGCTGATTGGCGCTGTGAGATGAACCTGGCATAAGCAGCGGTTGGAGTCTAGATTCGAGCCCTGTCTGCTCTTCTTCCTCAAGATGGACAAAGCGCCTGTCGCTCAAAAGGACCGTCCGATACCCTGCCCACTTACATGATTGTTGGACAGAGCCAATCACTGCTGTTTTTTATTGCTGAAGAGGCTGTGGCAAACCAAGGAACTCGGCAAGCTGTTGGCCATGCAAAACCATGGTCGGTTCAAAGGAGCTTCAATTCCCAAGCTTGAAGCAAGGGGAATGCAGTGCTAGACACCCTTCACCCGTGATTCCGCCGCAGAATCATTCAAGGGGAATCCCTGCACAAGGGCCTCTTTTGCCCTATGAGTTGGAACCCCCCGTGGTGGGTGTTTCATGCCGCTCCCTCCTGGGCGGAGACCCCAAAGCTTTCAGCCCTTTGCAGCCATTTGGGCAGAGACCCCAAAGCTTTCAGCCCTTGCAGCCATTTGGGCGGAGACCCCAAAGCTTTCAGCCCTTGCAGCCATTTCAGGGCGGAGACCCCAAAGCATTCTGCCCTTGCAGCCATTTGGGCGGAGACCCCAAAGCTTTCAGCCCTTGCAGCCATTTGGGCAGAGACCCCAAAGCTTTCAGCCCTTGCAGCCATTTGGGCGGAGACCCCAAAGCTTTCAGCCCTTGCAGCCATTTGGGCGGAGACCCCAAAGCCTTCAGCTTTGGGGGCAAAGCAGAAAAACCCAAAAGCAGCCAGGGTCCCGCACTCCACACGTCCGCCAGCACCGAGTGCTCCTCCCGCTTCTCCGAGCGTCGGCCGCCGTAGATCTCAGCGGGCACAACAGCCGCTGGCCGTCTTACGTGCGTCGCAAAATGGGCCAATCCGCTCGTTGGAAAGCCCGGGGAGGAAACGATTCCTTTCATAGGGAAGGACCTTAAAGGTGGCCCAAACATTTCCGAAACCCAAAGGAAGGATGGTTGCCTTCGAACGCAGACAGAAGGGGTTGGGTTTTACCTGAATAAAGCATGCTCAAACCACCATCGTTGAAACAAACTCCTTTTGGCTCTCCGTTGAGGAGCGCCAGGGTTTGATGGTTGCCCCAATTGTTGCCTGCACTTGCAAAGTAGAGTCATATCAAAGCTGGTACTAAAGGGGGTTCTTACCATCTGTTTCTGGCAAGGGAACTGTCCCTACCCTTCATCTAAAACTGCATGTACTACTCACAAGGAGCAGATATGGGCATGCGTCTCAAAATACCCAAACATGTCCTTTTGGTTCCCCTGGTCGACCAGGTTGGGGCTCCCTCAAAAGAAGAGAAAAAGAGAGCGCGTGCCGCGTTGTTTTTTTTCTTCGTTGCGCCTTTCCCAATGAGCCAAGCAGCGAAGAGCTTTCCCTGCAGCGTGGCCGAGCCGTGGTGGTCGCGCGCGGGCGGCCTGAGAAGCGTTTGGTCAATGGGCAGGTGGCTGTGGCTCAAAAAACCGGAATTCCAAAATGGAACCCGATCGGTAAGTGGAAACATGGACCAAAACCTGCAGTTTGCCCCTCCTGTTTAATTTTGAGCCACACCCACATGACCGCCTTTTTATTGAACATGCCGCGCCAGACAACCCCATGGGAACATGCTTCAGGTCAATCATGGACATCCGCCGACAGCTGAACACGGGAAGGCTGTTTGCACAATGAACATTCCGTTGCCGCAGTCTCAGCCAAGAGTCTAGTGGGCAAAGAACAGCGCGAAGGCATCGTTTCTCATGTATATATATATATATGTATATTATATTATATATATATATATATGTGTGTGTGTGTTTGCGCCACATTCCAGAAAATGCTCTTTGTTCTTGTTCTAGTGAGATGCAGCTAATATGTGAAAAAGGTAGGTCTTGGTGTGTAATCATGTGCCTTTCTATATACATCCTGTTTCCAATCATGCAAATGCTCAGGAGGATGTTGGAAGACTATCCTTTGGAAAAGGCCCAGCCATTTCCCCTGATTGGAGAAAAGGTAGTTTTCTCAGGCGGGCCTAGGCCCTATCCTTTTGGTTGGAATTGATTCGTCCCTGGACCCCTTTTTGGGGTCCAACCTGATTTTTTGACAATAAGCTCAATCTCCGCAAGGAAACCCAAGGTCCCCCCACTCCGCAGGAAAGGTTCTGTTTGTACCGGTGGCTTCTGAAAAGAAGGATCTCCGGAAGAAAAGACAAACTGCTCTGATGAACAAACAATCAGGACCAGCCTTCCGCCCAAAACCACACACCCATCGCCTGATCTGCTTTTGGGATTGCTCCAAGTTAATCAGCGGTCGTTTGATAGCCCGGCTCAAAAATCCATGGAACAAATTCTGCTGATCCCGTTTTGGTTCCTTTTGAAAAAACACAACAAAACATGGATATATTGTTTAGCGCCGTGTGGCTTTCGCCAACCGCCGGACCACCCCACCCTAGCCTCGGCCCCTCTGTGGGAGCTAGGGACCACTTCTCCTGCAGGTGCTCCAGTGGGGGGCCAACTGGTTCTAAATGCTTAAGCAGGGATCCTTACATTATGCACCAGAAGATTGCCTTGCAAATGGTGGTTTCCCTTTATTTTGGTGGAAAAAGCCATGTTCAAATGGGCAAAGTGTATCTTTTAAGGAGCCCTGTTAAGCCACGGTCTAAGCATCAGTTGCCCCAAGTCCCTGTTTTAGGGGTTCGTGGTGGTTAGAACTCGTCAGAAAGCATGCAAGAGACAATTGAAGCGTTTTGGTCGGTTCGGGAAACTTGAGGCTTGGCATTTGATTCTCAGAGACCAAAAGGCAACCTGAGAGTGTGGATGTGTCGCGCCACTTGCGGAAACTGCTCGCCAAACTTTTGAGGGGCGGTGGTTCAACCATCATTGCAGGCTCTAGGGGCCCTATCATCCAATCGGTGCAGTCAAGCTCGGGCGAGTGGCAAGTGATCCTGCTTGGTCCTTCCCTGAACCCTGGGTTTTTTGTTTGTTTCGGCCACCGCTGTCTTGGTCAACCCCTGAAACCTGGGTTTTTTTGTTTGTTTCGGTCACCACTTACTTTACTCGAGAGCAAACATGTCAGATACCAAGAGTTGGCCCATTCTATGGACCCATGGAAGCCATGGGTCCCTGCCTGTTCTCACAAGGCGGCACATGTGTGCACGGGCCGCACCTCCTGAAGCTACTAAGCCCCCAACAAAACCGAGGCAAAAGAAAACATATGCGAAGGTGGAACTCTTTGGAAACAATTCAACCTGTGCTGCAGGGCCACCCTGCAAGGAATCTTCACCGGAGAGGAGCGAGTCGCATACCTACCCCTGAAAAACCAGGACAAAATCAAAACTGGTCCTGGTGAATAAAAATCGAAACACACTGAAACCTATAGAACCCGCTTGTGCTGTTGTTTGCCTGCAAAACCGGCCACTTTGAGGATTCGAAACTCCGGACCCCCTTTTTTCAGACAACCCGTCATCATTTATCATTTAACCAAACTGACTTCAAAGGGGACCTATGCAAAAAAAAAGAAAGTCCTGGATGAAGTCATAGAGCCACAGGTCATTGTAGTAGATATAGGCCTCGGCCAATGCCCGCCTCTCAATGGTCGAACAGCAGTCAGGCAGTTGACATCTCTCCTCGCTGCCCTGAAGCAAACATTGCCAACAAAACATGAAAGAAAATTGAAGAAAAGCTGGCGAACCTCAGATATGAGGGGATGGTCTAAATCGCGGAGGCCTTTTGCTTGGCGTTGCAAGGGGACACCAGAATGAAGCGCGACCAAATTTAGGTGGTCCGCTTCATGGTTGCGACAAATGACTGCTCGCTACACGCACCTCGGGGCGAAACGGCCGGTGCGCATAGCGTATGCCACGCCTACTACCCTTCTTGTCTAATACACACTGCACACGCGCAAATGGCAATCAAAGTTGTTGGAGCCCGTAACGGGACATGCGGGACAAACATTGCAAAAAAGCAGAACAGCGTATTTTCAGGGGAAGTGATCCGAAAAATGGAAGCATGAAATCCGACCTGCGAGGACATGAAAGGGAAGCGGGAAAAAGAAGCGCGAGCACAAAGGAGACCAAAAACATATCAGTCGGAAGAAAAGAAAAAACATGGGGCAAGGAACTCACAGCACTGCCTAGAACAGCTGCACAGCAAAGTGCCAGCAATGCCGTTGTTGGCCAACCTTGGCCCCCCCGGCACTCTGGTCTGTGTGCTCCACCTCGGAAAAGATCCCAATTGCGCGACCCGAAATGGGAATTGCGGTTGAGGTCTCAAAGTAGGGAACACCAAACAAAATCAACCGAAACTGCGGTTCCCGTGTCTTAATGTCTTAAGAATGGTGGTTCCCTTTGGCTTCCAATGGAAACCAACCAAACCAAGAACAGGGCCCCTCTCAAAAAAGCACCACATGGGTTCCAACAAAGACATAGTGGTAATTTTGGTGCAAGCTGGAACCCGCTGATGAATTGAAAACAGAAATACACTCAAAAAACCAAAAGGGTGAACATTGGGCTTGGCTTAAAATGACCCTGGCAGGAAGCTCATTTTGCTTCGGCAACAAGTCCGTATTGAAGTGGCTCGGTGGGTAAACATAGAGACTTCTAGGGCACTGGGTTTCTACGACCTCACTCGCATGTAGGTGTGCATGAAGCAGTTCAAGCAGGCCACCATGGTTTGCTTGGGAGGTCATAGCGCTGCGAACCGCCGTTGATTGGGCTTGTGTCTCCGGACACAATTCCAGTAAGGAGCCAGCTACCAGTAGGAAACGTGACGCACTCTCGAATTGCAAAAGCCCTCCTCAAAGGGCTGAATCACGACAGGAAGAAGCAAGCTCACTCCTGGTTGCTTGTCAAGGCGATTGCAGACCGAGTCAGCCCATAGGAATGTATTTGTTCAGCTCCCTCCAGCAAAATCAGGCAAAGCTGCTTCTATGAGAAAATCACCACAAAGAATCAATTGTCACTCGATCCTACGATAGTACGATTGAATGTGTGTGTGTGTGTGTCTCGCCGCATTGGCCACCACAAGCATGGACAAGCATGAATACCCACGGTCACCATTCCAAATTGACCTAACTGCCCCCCCCCCCCAACAAGTTCTCGGCCCCAACGAAAACACACCCTGACCATACTGTGGATGGACGACCCAACAAACGTTATGCTTTCAACCATGGGTTTCAAATTGGTGCGAAATGGATTTCGCAACCACAGCACCTCAACGCCTGCCCTCCAAAGGCCGGAACACGGCACCCAATCCGACAGGCCAATCCGACAGGCCCGAGGCCCACGCGCTGCCCTCACCCAGGTGCCGTCCGCCAAAGAAGGCCAAGTATCTCTTCTTCCTCAGCCCGCGGGCGAGCCTCCACCTCAACATGGGTCACCCCCTTCACTTGCCCAAAGGAGTTGGAAATAAAAGGTTAGCCTTTTGGCACCTCTACTAAGAACGGACCAAAATGGGAAAACCAAAAGGGCAAAAGGTCGGCTTTGGGCAACTGAGTTGATGGTCGGTATATCATACCCCATGCTTGAAAGCCCATAGAGACTCCAGGTAACCAGGGATTTACCCTGGGAGATGGTTGTTCGTGCATCTGGTCGTGAAAAGCTTGTGGAGGGATCGGCCCGATGCCAATCAAAGCTCTAAACGATCCAGGTTGCTTCAATGTACCATGAGGGCCTAAATCATGGGACGGTGGGATACATTGAGACCAAATAAAGTCATAATCATAGGATCAAAACGCTAGTAATTTAGCCCTTTGTACCATCTGCCCAAACTACAACCCTTCACTGCAAACCATGACTCCTCGAGTATCATGAGGCGCGACGTGGCTTGCGATATAATTGCGTGGACGTTTGGTCGGGATGTTGTGTTGGTTGTCGCGTTCGCACGTTGCAGTCCTCAAAGTGGTGGCCAATGAATGGGGGCCCTGGTCGCATGGTTGAAATCACCCTTTGTGATACCAACAAACGTCATGTCTATGACTACTTGATCACTTTGAAGGGGATTTCCTTGGGATCACAGAAGCACTCCTAAAACCACATGTCCCACAACCATGCCTAGTCAACTGAGAATGAAGCAGTATGCAAGCAGAGTTAACTGCACAAAAGAAACCTGCTTCGTGCACATATCGACTCACGACACCTTTGTCATTGATCGCAGCTCAAGGTGTAGCGCTTGATGGCGCCTGACCGGGGGTTAAATCCGCTAAAGACTGGACAGGCTCAACATTCGCACTCAAAATACTTCCCCAAAATGTTGTCCCCCGAAGCTCAAACCCTTAGGCCCAAAACTCGACCTAGCAAGCAGCCTGGGCTTTCTGCCAAGACACGCCCCGCCTTTGCCGGAGATGACAACCTTAGGCTCTCACGTTGCTTTCGCGGACTTTCTGGTGCCCAGGACAGGCGCATCTACCACAAGTCTTTGGCGCCCGTGCGCGAATGAAAGGGTGAAGCAAGAAGCGACTGAACCATGCCTGGGCCTCACCTCGAACATCAGTGACAGTAAATAATGGCTTGTCCAGCGGACGACCAGCGGATGATATACACACACAACCTCCAACGCCATCTTTTCCGGTTGACCACAAGTGCCCGAGTAACAATCCACTGGCCACGCCGATGGGGGATCATCGAGCTCTAGCCAAGCCACAACATGAGCTTCGGACACAATTCTTTGCCAGAGGACATGAGCAATTTGGGTGGGCCCCGTGGGCTTTTGCCAGGTTTGCGGCCCCAGGCTTTTCCGAAAACAACAATAGACTACTTGTACTTCTGCCGGTTGATCATATGAGTGTGTTCCAAAAAAAAAAAGGAACCCCCAAAATGGTAGTTGTCCTTTTGGCTTCCCTTTCACACCACAAAAATGAGACCCTCAAAGAGAGACACACCCATATTGCACCACCCAACTGCTCTTGACTACCAGGGGACAAAAGACCAACACACATCCTTACGAAGCCTTGTTCTTGTACGGAATTTCTTATCCTGTCGCAATGAGACCCCTCTCGCAGGGAAATGGACCAGCCTTTCAGACGCCAGATGTCCTTGCTCTTGCACATGTCCTCTACCACTGTTCCTAGGTAGGATCTCTGCTGCCAAAGGTGCTTGGCGACAGCAAATCTTTGTCAGGGCACCTTCGTGGAATTGAGGTTCTGAGTGAGACCTAGTGGCTGAAGGGGAACAAAAAAACAAGCGGAGCATCTCGTGCACACGGAAGAACTCAAATAGTCCCTCTCCAACAATGATGGAGGTGTACAGGGGGCTTCCCTCACTTGCTGAGTGGATGGCCCAAAACAAGTCCAAACTTCATATTTACCAGCAAAATGGTCTTCCCAAAAAGTTTAAAGTTCATGAACTCAGGAAGTGAGATCCCCAAGTTGGAACTTCGACTTTCTAAGCCCCGTGTCAGCTTCCATCATCCGAGTCCCCGAGAAAACAAGCGATGCGAACTGGGCTCCGCGCTCCAGTGGAGCCCCATCCTCACGAGAGGCTCGAGAATAGACCGGAGAAGGGCGGGATAGGATGGAGGAGGATCGGGAGATGTTCGAAAGAGTGCCCAAGGTGTGGAAGTTGCAAAGACGCGCAAGCTTGGAATTGATGCATTGATGGATGCATCTTCACCCCCAACACTAGGGGGAAATTGAACGTTCATGGTGTGACACTTTACCACACTGACCTGGAAAGAGTACTGACTGACAAGTTGCCTTCGACAAAAGACTTCATTGGATGTGCACTCGACAACACAATCGGGCATGGTCCTCAGGCGTTCTGTTCATAGGGAATGAATGAGGAAATGCCCTTTGAGAACGGCTGTTAGGTTCCTGTATTGTTGGAAGGCGTATCCCCATCCTACCAAAAGCCAAGATGCCCACACGTCAGGACGCCTGCAACAGCCAAAGGTACCTGCACAGGACTGCAAGAACCATGTCGTTGCCTGCGAGAGTACCCCTCCAACTGGCGATGCTTCCTAAAAATGGATGCTTCCTGGTGGAGTCAGGCCCCTCAAAACCTGGCCAGGTGTTTTTTTCCTGTTATGAACTCCACCAGACATGGCGCCTTTTCACTCCTCACATCGGTATGTGCCCCCTGGGCAGCTCATAGCCAAAATGGCTGAGAATGGTCAGACATGGAAAACAACGCTCACCGTTAAAGGTCAAGAGCTGATTTCATTCCACAACTCACTTAAAATTCTTGTTGACCTCAACTACACTCCATCTGCCGGAATCCAGCAAGTCGTTCAGGGGCTCGGAGTTCCCACCTCTTTTGGTGAGGACGTCCGCTATCATAGCCGGATTAGGCACCCATTTCACGCGGGCTCCTGATTCACGAAGATGTTGTTGAATCACCTGCATCTCGATGGCGGTCCGCTTGTCCGCCGCATATCCCGAGGACTCCTTCGTGAGGTGATCGAAGATCGACCTGGCATCGGTGATAGCCAGGTTCTTCAGTTCCTCGGATGAGCCGGCTGACGCATGAGACTCCATGCGTTGGTTCTTCAGATGCTGCTGCCACTCCTTCATGTCGAAGTGGGGGTCCACCAACTCCTCAAACACCGTCACTGCCCACATCAACTCCGACAGCCCCCGTGACATCGCCTGCGTCTCCGCCGCAAGCGTGGAATTGACTACCCTGTGGATCTTGGAGCTCTTCCAGTGCAGCAGATTGCATTTTCCAACTTCTCCGCGGGCCACCTTTCTCTCATAAGCCACAATGCAAAACCCACCTTGAGATCGGCCTCCTCGCACGTTAGCGTAGCTGGCGTCAGTGATGACACCCCAGCACAGCTCATCCTCGGCAATGTGCTGAATGCGTAGCTCACGTCCAGCTGATTCCTTCATCTTCTCGATGCACTTGTTTAAGTCAACGATATCTTCCACGGTCAGCGTCTTGAGGCTCGAAGCGATCAAACTGGCGGTAGCTGCTCCATCCGGCCTTCCTTCCTTGGCAGCCCAAGTCAGGGCTCCCACCGCTGCACGGGCTGCCTCCCGCTCCGCCTGGGTGGCAGGTTCTTTCAGCATAGACTTCCGACCGCGTTCCAGCTCCACCGGAAAGAGGCGCTCTGTGATGAACTTCTTCATGTCGATGAGAAATCCTCCCTTCCCATCGCTTTTCAACCGCCGACCATTGAAGGATACACCCGCCGGGGACTCATTAAGGAAGACGAACTTTCCAAAGGTGAACTTCTTCCGCAGCTGCTCAATGATCTGGAAATAGGTGTCGCCACCCATGCACAACAAGTCGTCCACTTCCACAACCACCAACCCCGACAGCTCCTTCTTATAGCCCCTCTCCTTCTCCTCGGTGTACAGCGCAAAAGTGCATGGATCCACCTTTGATTGAGAAAAGCCCAAGGACAGCAACACCTTCTTGAGACTGCGTCTCCAATGGGCTGGAGCATCTCCCAAGCCATACGCCCTTGCCAGGATCTCAATGAGTTGCTCCTGATGTAGACCAGGGAGACCTCCTCGTGGTTGCGAAGCAAACAATCTGCCTTCAGCTCGCTTGAGTCGCTCGGACTGCATGAAGGCATTCTTCAAGTCTCCAACCGCCGTCTTCCACTTCTTGCACGCAGCCAATTGCATCGCGATAGCCACGTTGCTGGTCGTAACGGTGGGAGCGTGTCGATCTAGCAACAGCAGATCGGGATCGCGATCTCCTCGCACACACCACCTTGATTTCTTCGTTGGGGGTTGTCCCGGTTGATCTGCGGGCTTCCACCTCCTAACAACTCGAGACGGTAGAATACGCGCTGTGAGGTTGGCCTCATTGAGCTGTTCTCGAATCTCACGCGATTCCTCCGCCGAAAGCTCCTTGACAGCTTCCGTGGCTCGCACCTTGCTCCACTCTTCTCCGTCAGCAACTCGCCAACCTTCCCAATCCTCTGGCAAAATTTCCTCCTCTCGGACCTCGTCGGATCCTTTCTTCACCAAGTAGAGCAGCTCGTCGTCCTTGCCCTGCACGTAGAAGTCGGTGTAGCCTCGCCACCAGATTGGAGGACCTTCCGCCACATAGGTTCTCTGCGACCGCCAATTCCCCTTCTGAACATATGTACCACCTCCAGAAACTTCCATGAACGTCCTCCGGACCGACTTGAGCCGGTTCGGCGGTATTGGACATCCTCGCTGCAGTGATGGCACAAATCCACCAGCTCTCTCCGCTTGGTGCACCCGCCGGAGAACCCGCTGCTGGGGTATGTACTCCCAGTAGTCATCAAGAGGTACGGTCTGCTGCTCCACCACCTCTTTCAGCTCGTCCGTCACGCACCACAGTCCAGTGTCATAAGGGCCGTCGTGATAACGCTGCAGTCGGGGCCTCACCGGTCCATATCCTCCATGCTCTCCGGATGCTTCTGCGGTGCCACCTCCGTCTACCTCCGGCTGGTTCATGGACGGGTTGTTCGACGGCACCGTCGCAGTCGCCTCACCGCTCACCCTTCTCTCCGGCTCCTCTAACTCCTCTCCAGGCGTAGACGAGGAACTTGACGACGACGTCGTTGTAGACGATGTAGTGCTACTCGAACTCGTCCCAGACGGGGCACTTCCCGGTCCATGTAGTCGACGCCGTCCTGCAGGAGGTTCTCCGTCTACTGACTCTTCCCGTCCTTCTGGAGGGTGTTCCCACCTAGATATGTCCTTGAAGGCTCTCTTGCTGGACTTCCGCATCATCTCCATTCGTAACTCCTCAAACTCATCACGCAACATGCCGTGTGCCTCGTGCTCCACATTGGTCGCCAGTCTCACTTGCTCACAGGCACACTTCCACAGCTCTCCTCGCATAGCGATCCACACATTGGGACCCTCCTTGGAGACCACAACGCCAGGTCCGACCCACACTGGTCGACGAAGTTCCCGAGCTTCTGGACGATCCTCCTCATCCCGGTTGCGTTTCCGCGGCAAAGGAGTTCGATACACGTACACCAGATCACCCGCCAAGAACTCCCTCAACACTCGTGGTCTTGCCTTGGATGCTCTACTGATGGCCTCTTCTGCGCTGCATCGGATGAAAGCTTCCATGGCCTTCCTCCTCATCTCCAGGATCCTTCTCACTTGCTCTCCGGCACCGGCAACAAGGAGGGCTGGGTCATAGACGTCGTCGCTGCCCAACGTCCCAGGTAGCCTCACATTCTCCCCCAACTGTCTCTGGGCTGGACTGTATCCGCTCTTGTGATACATTCGATTCTTGGCCGCCTCTACGGCAAAGATGCAGGCTTTCCATTCCTCTAAGTTGCTTGGTGGGTCTTCTTCACAAAGTTTGAGGAACACCATCTTCGCCAAGCCTCCATGCCGTTCTGTTCTGCCTTGCTGCCATGGAGCACGTGCTCCAATGGTTTTGTGAGCACAACCCATCTGCATAAGTTGTTCCGCGAAATTCCCGCGAAACTCTCTGCCGCATCCAGCTCCTCTGAAATGCAGACCATGCGGCAGCAGAACTCTTTGACTCCAACGGCTCCAGCATCTGATAGCAGCTTCCCCAGTCAATGATGTTCAGCACAGGATGAGCTTCCCTCGGGTTCACTCCCGGGAAAAACACCACATCAACTCCCACTACTTGTCCTGGCGCCAGGCATGTAGGTGGAACAGACGGGCGTGCCGCCTTTGGGCGCTGCTGCCCCTTGCAGATGTCGCACTCGAACTCCTTCTGCGCGTACCGCCAAACTGGAGTTCGCGCTCTAGCCAGTCGAAGCATCCTTGCAAAATCTGCATTGGCTGGGTGTCCCATCTTGGAATGCAGCTCCTTCACCATTTTCTTGTCCCTCTCCGTCAGTCCTCGGTCTTGATCTTCTCCGGATGGCTCCTCTGCTGCACGCCCTTGCTCCTCATCGCCCGCAACGGGCATGTCCCTTATCCCATGCCCCTCTCTGGCCTCTGCCATCTGCTCCTCTGCCTCGATTTCTTGATCCAAATTAGGGCCGTCTCCTCTTGTGCATACACCGCGGACTCGTTCGGGTGAAATATTGACACCAAAATCGGGGCGACTCCTCCGGGTAGTCGATCAGCTCTCTGAGGTTCCCAAAGCACTCTACTTTCCAGCTCTCTCCAGCCGTGCTCATCCCAAATCCAGCTGCTCCTCCATGGAAAATCTGCGGAAGATACCACTCGTTCTCCGACTCGAAACCTGGTCGCCGAGGGAGTTGTCAACACCCACTCACCTCGCTCAGCTTGGTGCCATCCAGAACGTCGAGCCCATCCTTCCAGGTTCTCCATCGTGGGTTTCACCTTCTCACTCTCCTTCTTGTCTTCAAGCGCGCCCTTGACCATGGCCACGCAGAGCTTGTGTGGATATTCTTGAGCATGACGAGCTAGTCCGTGTAGAAGAGGTACATGTTGATGGCCGCCATCGCACCGCTTAGAGAGATACTTCTCCATCTTGTCGCCATTGACCATGAAGTCCGTGCTCTTCTTATTAATGCCTCCTCCAACTTGGAGTCCATACATGCACTGATCTCCTCGAACCCGACGCACTCCAGGTAGTGACAACACTCGCTTCACCGCGGACTCGTGCCATGCCCTTGAGGTGGTCGGATGTTCGAACAATGCCCATCTGCCCCTTCAAACCTGCCATTCAAAGACCTTCATTGCAAACTCCAGGTTCTCAATACCCTCAGCCAGCATCACGAAGGCCTTCTTGGGATTCATGCGGGGATAGTTCCATTCTTGAAGCGAAGAGAAGGGCCCGCACGGTGGACATAGTACTACAAGATCCGGATCTTTGGCCGCCTGCTGCTGCATGCATCTTCGCTTGTCTCCGCTATCCGTCAAGTCGTATCCGGTGATCAGGTCGAACGCGGTGCCCTTGCACATCCCGAGCTTCTCTGCCGCATTGGAGACCCTTGGGGGTGAGAAAACCCCCGACACCACCATCTCGTTCATCTTCCGTGAGATCTTCTTTCTGTCTTTGCTGCGAAGCGTGCCCACGTTCTCCTCCTCGTAAAAGGGGTCCAAGATCTCATTGGCGAAGACACCGTAGACGTGCTTCTCGTTTCCAAGGTGCAAAATGCCCGGGTGGAACTCATACTTCTGCACGTCTTCCCTCCATTTCCAGCATCCTGACTTCACTCGCTTGGCGTAGTCTGGCTTCTCTTCATCTTCCAACTGCATCAAGCACCACTGATTCTGAAGCTTCTGGGTGGAGATTTTTTGGGCCCAGGGGGCATTCTCCACCTCGTCTTGGGTCTTCAGATGCCGTCGTTGGTGGTGTCCTCCATCCCCACATTCTGGCTCACTTGACTCCAGTGCTCTCGCGGCTGCTCCACCTGCTCCCACGCCGTCTGTCGCGCCTGTGGATCGGTCATGATCTGCCGCATCCTCTCTTCTCCCATGGCCGCCGTCAGAAACATCACCTGAGACTGAAGAGCCTGAACTTGCGTAGTGTGCACTTCGGCCTGTTGCTGGGCCCAACCATGTATCTGGTGCTGCTGGGCCTGGATGATCTCCTGATAACGTCTCTCCGCCTCTTGCACCACCTCCAGCTTCACGCGCTCTATCTTCTCCGCCTCCATCTCCTCGAACTCCAGCAGCTGCCGATTCCTCTTGTACGGGTCCTCCTTCAGTGGCTCCCACCAGAAGTAGTCGCACTGTCTTTGGACGCACTTCCAAAATGCTCTTCCCTTGCAAGGTCCCTCCTTTTTCACAAGCAGTCTCTCTGCCGGCCTCGCACAATAGCACATCACTGTGGTTTCGGGCGCTGCCTCGATCGGTGACTTGGCTTTCTCCTTTGCGGGCTTGGTTTGTTCCATCTGTGCTTTCGTGAGTTGCCACCGCTGATGACATCCCGCGCACCACACCTCCCGAGAGTATTGATTCCCGGCTCCCTTCAGCAGCTCTGTCGAGCGCACGCACTTGCCGTTCGTCACCTTCGGGGGCTCCTTGCAGTTGCGTGGAGGTAGCGCTGGTGCGTCCTTGATGATCTCCGCATAGTGCCGCTGCTTGTCCGAGGCGATCGCGGGCTTGTGCATGTGCGTGTAGGAGGTTTTGAAGGTCGACTCCTTGAGCACCGGTGCCGTAGAAGAAGAAGGTCCAATAGAGGCTCCACCGGATTCCCCACCGAGTGCCCCTTGTGCTGACATTCTGGCGACGATTGCGATCATGTCGAAGATCTGCTGCAGCACCACTCTCCAGTTCTTCACTGCCCGCTTGGGGTTGTACACGAGTTCCGGCTTCTCTTCCTTCTTGGCCTCGGGCTCCAGGTGCATCTTCACGGCTCGCTCGAACAGGCTCATGGCTTTGAGTGAGGAAACTGATGGGCCACTTTGCCCCTTTCGGAGCTGTCATGGCTGGAAAATTCACCGCTCCACACACTTCATGAGATTTCTCTCGAAACATCTCATCCGAACGTCCACGTTGCTTGGCTTGTTGGGGAAGGGTCCATCCATGGTTCCCGAAGTTGCAGATGTCGATTCCCACATGACCAGTGTGAAATGAAACCAGCGGGGTTTGCTTCCCTTCTGCACTCAAGTGAAGGTTCATCTCCTCCAGGTTAATCACCGCTTTCAGCTCTTTCAACAACGAAATGGGGAGCAACAAGGGAACCTCCTCCTTGACGACGGTAGCTTCTAGAATTCCACACACTCCCGCAAGCCCCAACGGAATTTCCACCACTGCCACGACCTGCGCCTGTCCGCCGACTCCTCTGGCTCTCCCTTGCTTGTCCAACTTGTGGGGGCGAAGTCCAAACTGTTTGAGCTCTTCCTCAAGCCGGGCTTCCCCTATAAGACCTCCTTGCGCAGCTGTGTCGACGATCCCAAGGTTTCCCTTCATGGTGAGCCCCACAAACGGACAAACTTGCGGCGCTTCCTTTTTCCGAGGCATAAAGTCCGTGATGGAATAGTCTCGGAGATACAGGCACACGTCCTCTGGTGGACTGGCCGTAAGATAAAATCCATGTTGGCTAGCCACGGAAGTTCCCGGAGATGACGCGGTTGGAGATGATCTCAATTTGGCCTTGGCGACCTCATCCATTTCTCCGCGGCACTCCTTGGCCCAGTGCCCGACTTTCCCGCACCTTGCGCATCTCGTCCTCAGCTTCAGCATCTCCACGTGTACTCGAGCTCCTCGACCATCGCCGAACTTCCCCTTGGTGCCCTTGCCCTTGATTGGGTAGTATCCGATAGTATCCCCTGCCATTGCGCTGGTCCTTGATGGCCTTCCGAACCTCCTGGTACGTTGCCAGCGCTTCCATGAGCTCGTCCTCCTCGTAGATCTCGTTCAAGTCCCCTTCTCCAAGGTAGATGTAGCCGTCCTCGGAGCCCTCATCCTCTTCTGCCAAGAACATGCCCTCGTGCCCGACCTCGTTCGTGCCCTCGTGACCGTCCACGAGATAGTTACGACCTCCCTTCTCCTTCTGCACCTTCTCTAGTTTCCGCAATGCCGCGACCACCGTCTCCCGGTCGTACTTCCCCGAGGTCCACGTAGTCACCTGATCTTCCTGCACACTCGTGAGCGCCGCCTGCCGGAACATCACGTATCCCTTCACCTCGGTTGGCAGCTTGACGCCCTCTTCCTGCAGCCTTGCAAAGGCCGCCTCAACCCGGATGATGTACTCACTCAACTGCTCCTTGCCCTTGCGCGTCTCCCCGTAGATGGCCCTCTCGAAGGCCTTTGGCATGGCTGTCTCCAGATATGGCTGATAGTGCTCCTTCAGCTTCTCCAAGATCGCCTCCACACCGCGCTCCGAGATGAGCGTCTCCACCGGCAGCTCATCCACCGCCTCTCTTGCAGGGCCACTGAGGCTGCGAAACAACTTGGTGCCCTGCTTGGTCGGAATCACGTCTGTCTCATGCCTCCACCTGCGAAACTCCTCTGGTGACTCTCCAGCGAACTTGGGTGGTGGGTCGCGGTCTCGAAACCCCTCTGTCGTCTGACCATTCGCACTTCCCTGAGCCTCCGCAGAGGCTCCGCTACCACTATGAACTCCACCAGACATGGCGCCTTTTCACTCCTCACATCGGTATGTGCCCCCTGGGCAGCTCATAGCCAAAATGGCTGAGAATGGTCAGACATGGAAAACAACGCTCACCGTTGAGGTCAAGAGCTGATTTCATTCCACACTGTTTTTTTCGTGGGCTTCCCTTTTGACCGCCTCCAAACCCGGCGCCCTCGTTCAGTCAAAAGTTGATACAGCCGCTGAATAGAAAGCCCTGGCATCCGAAGCGAGTGAAACGGATTCGGTTTTGGTCCTCTCCATTTGCCAAGGGTCCATGTTGGGACGCTTCTCCTACGGCCGTGGGTCCAGAATACTGTGGGATGGTTGCGAATTCCATTTCGCCACCCAAGAATCACTGGAATGATTCGATTCTCCTGGAATTACCAACAAAGACTGGTACATACTGTGTGGACAAAATCCAGGAATCGCACCACGAAATGAAACCCCTGGTTGAAAGCAGAACGCTTGTTGGAAATTACGTTGGGGAATCGAATCATTCCAGTGATTCTTGGGTTGCGAAATGGAGTTCGCAACCATCCACAGCTTTTTGGACCAGCCGTAGGTGAACCGTTCTGGGGCCAGGGCAAATGTGGCTGGCTGCTCTTCTTTGCTGTTTGTGGGCAGTAGGAAAGCAGGAACCTGGGACCAACAGGAAACAGTGGGCCTCTGGAAGGGGACATACTGTGGATGGACAGAATCCATTTCGCACCACGAAATGAAACCACGCGAAACCCCGCTTGGTTGGTATTTACTTGGGAATCATCATTCCAGGGTTTATTAGATGGTGCGAAATGGGTTTCGTCCATCCACAGTATGTCCCATTTAAGATGCTGATGATGATCACCCCCCCTTGGGAAAGCCCATGGAAAACCTCAGGACTGGCTTCCGCCGAGTCTGTAACCACTAGTTTGTCAAGGCGGGAATCCCCCCACTCCGTTTGATAGGTATGTGGTAGGTGGTACCGGGGCCCCAAGCCCAGCTAGCAGTTTGCGTTGCGAATCAAACAACAACTCTTCTTCAGCTCTTTGCTCGGACCCTCTGGCCCTCACACCATAAACCGCCCACCCACCCACCCCCCACCCACCCCCCACCCACACTCCACCCACGCCCCACCCCCCCCCCCTCACCCCCACCACGCCCCCCCCCGCCACATTGCCGTCTCAGGCACTACAGGGCGCTGGGAAGGGAGGACCTTGCGTCCACCTGCGGAGCCATGGCAAAGCGCCCCGGTTTAAACCTGGGCCTCCCGTTTTGAGGGGCCCCCCTATATTTCCACGTAACACATCATGCCTACCAAGGAAAAAACCCACATGGGCCAGAAAGGTGATGTTGAAAACCACAGACATAGGACATGTTTGGACCCCTGTGTTTGGGGTGGAAAGGAGAACCGAAGCAAGATCACCTTTTTGGGGATCCCCTAAAAAGAGACACACCCACACACGTCTAAACAGTGTTGCGGGAGTTGCCTCTCCACCTGTGATATGGAAGGGCTTTCAAATGATTCATTTTCCATTTAGAGAGGGGTTCCCAACTAGCAGCTCGAAATTGCAAATGGTGTGTTGACACTGTAATCAAAACGGGTGGTCTTTCAGACACCTGTTGCTTCAGCAATCTCCCCGTTTCCAGAAACGGAATTGGACCCACGTTGACCCTCTTTCAGCCTCGCAGGCTGGGGGAAGGCAATCGAATCAGAAGAAATCTCAAGCGCCCCAAATGGAGAAAACCCCACGAGTGAACCGCCCCATTTCCCCCGAAACCATTGAGGTCTCGCCTTGCAGTTGTTCCATGCTGTGGCCTCACACTTGCTCGGAAGACTCGGAAATTTCGAGACATGGATCAAACCTGTATGTGTTATCTCCAAGATGTAACTTACAAGCCTCCTGAGATGTGGTCGCCGTGGTCGCCGTTCCTCAGGCTCCCGAATCCCATCCTAGTCATTGCGTTGGCCCGCGTTTCCAATAACGGTTGCTACTAGCAGCCACCAAGAGTTCTGCATTAGAGGAATCTCCGGTGAAACAAAAAAGCACTTGTGTGGGCTCCATGTTGCGTAGGGCCCTAATTCTCCCATTGCGCGCACTGGGTTTTTTTTGCATAGTTCCTTTTTCAGAAGGAAAAAAGGCCACCTAGATGACGGTGGAACCAAACAACAACGACCGCCAGAAAGACCCCGCGTATGGGCACAGGGCCAGGTTGAACCGTTTTCCCCGCGCTGAGAGTCCCTCAAGTTCCCCCCGTACATGAAGGGGGAAGGGGTGGATTCCCCCCCAGTTTCATCCATGCCTTCCCCACATTTTGGTGTCGAAGAAGCTGCAATAGCTGCAATCAACAGTTCATCCTCTGAAGCAAGTGGGCCTACGAGTGACCAACAAGGATAATTCGGTGTGTCTGCTGGACCCGCCAAAATGGGTGGCCTCCTATTAGTTTCCCTTAACCTCCGCAAAAGAGAGTACCCTCAAAAGTCCTCCCCCCGTCCAACAAGCATCATGTGTCCCCGAAGGGCCTCCCCAGGAGGGCCTCCCCAGATTTGGTTCTCTTGCATGTTTAATGTTGGTTCAGGTTTTCTGTGTTTTTCATGATGTGTGAGCGTTGTTGGGGGTACTTTGCTCGAATCTAGCTGCAATTGAAGGTAACGGCAAAGGTGGGGCCGCAAATCAGGAGCGAGAAGCCAAACCTGCTGCGATTCCCAAGTGAGGTGGTTTAGATCACCAGTGTAATGTTGAGAGAAGCCCAGTCTCCCAAATCAAGCAAGAATTTCGGAGGGGTTCCAAAATGTAGGAAAATACGACTGTTTGCTAGCAGGGCCTATTAAAGCGTATTAAGCCTTAATTAGCTTTAAATAAGGCTTAATAAGGCTTAATAAGGCTTAATAGGGCTTAATAAGGCTTAATAAGGCTTAATATGGCTTAATGTGGTGGGGAGGCCCCCCCCCAAAACCTGCACAGAGACACGCTTTTGGCCCCCCCTTCCCCCTTCCTCCCCCTTCCCCGTCCCCTCCCTCCCCTCCCTCCCCCCCCCCCCTTCCCCACCCCCTCTTACCCCCCCTTCCCCACCCCCTCTTACCCCCCCTCCCCTCCCCTCCCCTCCCCTACCACCCCTTTTACTTCTCAAAAACAAACGATGTTTTGGTCCCTTTTCGAAGTATGGTACTTTGACTAGAATCCTGGGGCATGTGTTCTAGGCTGGATGTCTTTCGAGATGGCGGATTTGAAGGATTGTTGAAAATAAGAGAACATGTCCGTTTTGAGCATTCTCATCTAAATAACAAAGTATTCAGCGGTATTAAGCCTTATTAAGCCTTATTAAGCCTTAATAAGGCTTAATAAGGCTTAATAAAGCTTAATAAGGCTTAATAAGGCTTAATAAGGCTTAATAAGGCTTAATGTTGGACTCGGTCATAATTCCTCAAATCTGGCAAGGCCCCTGTTGGGGAGGCCCTTGGGGGACACATGAAAGCAGTCGTCGGGCCATGTTTTTTTTTTTTAAGTCACGCCTCGGCTCGGACCCTGCGAGCACCTCTTCCTCAGTTCGCAGGGCAAAGTCAAAACTCTTGACACAAATTCGGACCCCCTTGACACATACCGCTTTTGTTTGACTCATGTTCCCATAGACCGCGCAGTTGACCAAACTCCCAAGCCCAGGAGGGTAAAACCCGAACAGGGTGTTTTGACCATGGCATGTGCGGGTATGTCTCGCTTTCCCGATGAAGAAAAGGCGGCGTCCAATAGATCTTACTCAAACTCTACAAGGCACACCCACAGGAAACACGTGCAGGCTACACGCACACCCACACCCACACCCACACCCACACCCACACACACACACACATTCATTTCAAGAAGGAGCCACAGTTTTCGCTCCTCAATTGAATGGCGCGAAATTCAGTGGATCGCGTCTTGTGGGTCAATTGGGTGGCCCCCGTGCTCATAGCTTAGAGTTACCATGACAAATAAATCAACGTCATAACATCACTCAACCCACAAACGGTCTGGACATGCGTAGCCCCAGAAATTGGGTCTCGCCATGCAAGGGTTTTCTTGTAAGCATCCCAAACAAATTGCAATGACTTCGACTGTTGACACATCGTCGGTCAACAAATCTAGAACCCTCCAAAACCCAAAAAATGAGACAAACATCTTCACCAAGGGACCTCCTGCTTTTGACCATTTTTGACCTAACAGGGAGCCTCTTTCACGTTCAGTTTTAGGCATGTGACTGTTGGTGGTTCTCCTCTCAGGGTTCCTTCAAGGATCCCAAAAGCCACCGGCTTTGCGAGGATTTGCACCCACATCAGCTGGAAATGGTGATTTGTGTCGTGTACCTAGCAAATGGGTGTGTCTTTTTTTGAGAGTTCCTCTTTTGTGGCTGGTTTAGAGGGAAACCCCAATCATCCTTCCATTTTTGTTGGGGGGGTATTTTGACCAAACCTGGGGTTCCTTTTCGTTTCCCTTCAGGCAGAAATTGGTCTCCTTGAGAGCAGCCTGAGGTCCGGTCTTTGGAGATGGCCCACAGATCCACCAGGCACTTCTCGCCCTGCCTGAGACAGGCGCTTCGCAGCTCGCTGGTTGCCGGCGCGAGAGGTAACGTGGGAATGAGCGCAGGCTTTGGTCCCCTTAAAGGAAACCACCAGTTGATAAGTTGGATGGCTAGGGGGCATTCCCTGAGCACCAGCCAGTCTAGTTGGTACTTTGGATTGCTGGGGTTGGGGAGCTCATGTCCCCAAATCTATTGTTGGCACGAAGTCGATTCACCCAAGAGCCTAAGGGGCTCCACTTGGTTAATTAAGGGTTCCATCTTAGAATATATCCGGGTCGCTTTTGGGTGGAAACCGAGAAGGGAGGCTCTGACTAAAAGTCCCCCTTCAGAAAATGGTTGAAAAAGAAGCCTCTGGTTGATGAAGAAGGAGGGGTCTCATAGTAGAAGGGATCCTGATTCCTTTACACGCAGGTGTAAACCTTGTTCGATTGATACGGGGTCAACATTATTGGATGCTTGGACATATCAGCATCTGACCATACCTGAACCGTCTCTGTATGGTTCCTACAGAAACTCAGAACATCGTGGGTGTTGCGCAAGTCCTCTTTCGGAGTCTCCATGTTTTGCCCAAGGCGACGCAGGATCCTGCGATGTCCACAGATATTGCCACAAATCGGTTCAACCCATGCTATGATCGCTGCAACTCAGCCGAAAAGTGGTCCTTAGCTTGGTAGGTCCCTGGGATTTTGTCATGTCGCATGTCAGGCGGAAAAGCTAGGCAATTCAAATCTGCTGAGATGTGCTACGATGCTACCAATGTATGGCTTAATATGGCTTATCTTGAGAAGGATAAAAGTCCACCTTTTCAAGCCAATTTCGCCCCTGAACAGAAGCAGTAACTTCAATGTGCATTGCTGTGTTCATCCAGCCCAATGCCCGGCAAGCACGCCAAGTAGCTTCCAAACATGGCAGGAGAGGGCGTTCGACCCGCTCAGAAAAGACAGAACCTTGCTTGTTGGCACACAAGATCTCAAAGGCGCAACAAAAATAACTGCAAAGAAAGGCAGCACGCGATGCTTCACCAATCACTGCTCACCCTAGGTTTTCCACCAACGAACATGGACGTGCACAGGAACCCTTTCCACAGCAAAGAAGTCTTTCAAAGGGTGTCTGAGCAGTTGCATGTTCACTGGTGAAAGCGTTTCAAAGAACATCTCCCTGTTCAAAGGAGCGCAATCCAGAACCACCAATAGGAGGCGGAGAAAGCAACCAACACCACCGCAAGCGTACGACCTTTATACACCTTCTGGAGCAAGGCGCAGCTGTTGATGCCTGCAAAATCAACAGGGATCCTTACATTATACACCTGAACATTGCAACTTGTAAATGGTGGTTTCCAACTTTATTTTGGTGTTGAAACAGCAACATGTTTCAAGTGGTTGCGACCCATTTTCAGCGTCACTTGGCTGGGCGACCCCGGCTGCGGGTTCTCATCTTCGGGAAGCTCCGCATAAGACCTGCCCCCGGGCCCCTGGGTGTCTCAGTGGCAAACAGCAAGCACTTTGGTACCGGAGGTTTTATGAAGAAAACCCGTGCAACGAGAAAATGCGCTTTTTGGAAGTGGGCGGGTGTTTCTTTGTTGTTTTGACCCGGGGGAATGAGGCTTCATGCCGGGGAACCGGCCTGGCATATAGCCAGGCCGTCCAGGGGTGGAATTGGTTTGCAAGGCAATGGGTTGCCACCTGGGTTTGACGTCCCCGCTTGGAGGCTTAACAGTGCGTGTCAAAGCCACTTGCACATGGTGGCACCGTGTCAAATTCCGATACGCTTTGGGGATAATTCGAAGGGGACCATGCCCTTCAGAGCTGCGACTCGCTAGTCACAAAACCTCAACTGCAACATGGATCAAAATCATCAACCCATCCACGTCGAAGTTGCGTGCCCATTACCATTGGTCGCAGTTGTGCGTGGCTCAATGTTGCGGGATATGTCAGTCAAAGTGTGTGGAGTTGCTGCTTGGTTCCATCCAAATATCAGCCAAGGCTCTGCATTCGGCCCGTCCTGGAATTTGGGCTTTAAGAGAAGAGGTCGCCTTTTCTTGCCTTCTGTTGTTCCGGAGAAGAAGGGTACTTCAGGGCGGACCAAGGCAACCACGTATATATTGTGTATATAATATGTATGTATATATATATCTATACCATAAATATATAATGCCATGCATGTACGCCCCCACTTTCATCCCTAGAACATCAGGCAGGAAAAGATCCCTTTCCCGGTCCTTCAGCTTTTGGGATTGACGATTTGGGCTCTGCTCTCCTGAAAGCGCGCCTCTTCGCATAGTGCTTCGTCGACTGGCGAGTCGCTGACTGTGTCACGATGGCTTTTTTTGCACGGGAAGCAGCGACTTGGTTCTTAGTTCTGGTCGAAGATGGTTTAAATTCTCACGAGATGGGATGGGGTGGGATGCGATGAGATGGGATATCCAAGAAACAGCGGTGTGCAGTGTTCGACTTCATGAACCCAATGAACAGAGGCGGTGTCCATTTGATTGGAGCATACGCGATTCGGGCACTATCAACTGATGCCTCTTTGTATCGTGGGCGCAATTGGCCGTGCAGGAAGGGGGCCCTTGGCTAATCCAGGATCAGAGAAAGCAATTCGTTGCAGAATCCAACTTGACTTCTACTCTCAATCTTGCGCATTGGGCAGCTTGGTTGTTGTTTGGGCATCTGTAAATGGCCTGAGCAAGAGTTTGATTTTGACCCCCCCCCTTTTCTGCAAAGTGTAACATTTGCCAAAATAGGGACCCAAACAATTGCGCTTTCCTTTCACAAGGCAAAAAAGGGTACCCTCCAAAAGCCAAACCCCCCCCCCGAAGCCCAGACCCAAAAAGTAACCTTCGCCCGGCCTTGCCACCGAACATAATCAGGTGCGACTGATTGGCCACAATCACATGACCACGCCTGGCCGGAACAGCACCAAACTGGATGCAGTTTTTTTTTGCCGGGATCTGGAAAACTTGGAACATATGTAACATATCCATCCTCTCGCGGTCTTTTTTTAAAGGTAAAGCAAAATAATTCTGGAGCACTCTGGATTGGCTTTGGGAACGAATCTTCCGCCATGGGAAGGAACCCTTCCATTCTTCCGTACGCCTGGCCTAGCTAGCGTACGCCTTGGTCTATACAGGATGTTCCCCTGCAAATGAATAGGGAACCCCAACTGCGGATCCCTCCAAAAGGTGGCGGCGTGTCGTTGGGTTCCATGTTCTGCAGGGGAGTGAAATCATTCTAAGCCATCCTGACTAGTGGAGTCTCTCTTTCCCTCACTGTCCGGATGCAAAAACAAACACCTCTGCTGGGTGAGGATATGGTGGCCTGGACTGGTTGGATCGCTGCTTACTGCTGCTGCACTGTTCAAGCGCCTGCCTGCGTAAGGGGAGTGGTATAAACGGATCCAACGCATGTGCAGCAGCCATCCCCCTGAACAGGAAAAAGCCAATTTGCAGGCCAGCAATCCTTCGCGTCGCATCAGGAGCCTGGCTGACACGGCAAGTTCCATGTTGCGAAGTTCTAGCAAATCTCCTGGCAGAAGCAGGGTTGGGTCTCAAGAATGACTTTCCGGCAGCAGCAGGTTTGAGTCACCCAACAGTCAGGGTTGCTCCAAAGATGCTGGCGCAAGGGTAGAGGGGAACCAAGGGAAAGCAAACCATGTCTGAACCCTTGGACCTTATCAACCCTCAAAGGTTCGAGCTGGATCCATGAAGTGATAGATTCAAAGTTACCCTTTGACTGGTGTTGAACATGGAATCCACCACAAAAAGTTTGAGAACCCGCCAACATGCTCACTTCAGTAAGCTCATGTCCGTGCTAGGTGAACAGAAAAAAACGTCCAAACCTAGAACTATCAAAATCACCCTCCAAGTAGCAGTCACAAGGGAAACAAATCCACTTTGCCAACCCAGCCCCGGCTAAGGTCAAAATCACCACCCTAATGTTGAGGCAACCCATCGTTCCTTTGGGAAACGCAAATTCCGTAGTTCCTGAGCTTTCTGCAAAGAAGGGCCCCATTCTTAGAATGCAATCCGAAAGCCGGAGCAGTCTGTCCAGCTAGGATAGCACCCTTGTTTCTCACCCCACCACCGGATTTTGTACATGTCCCACCCCCAACCAAGTAAACTTACCGTACATGGGCCAACAACTTGTTTGTTTGATGCCAGCAAAAATGGAAATAGTGCTGGAAACCAATGTGGGTGCATCTGAGGGGAAGCCCCTTTTGGTTGTTCTTTGTTAAAAAACAACTAGACCACGGTTGGCCCGAAAGCAGAACATCGCAAGCGAGGTCGGCCCAACGCTGCAGGATGCGTTCTTTTTCCCTACACTTCGTGAAGCAAGCGCGAGACAGCACCAGGCAAGGTGCTCTGCGCAAACTGGTCGGTGCAAGTTGGTCTGCGCAAGTTGCTCTCTGCGCAAGTTGCTCTGCGCAAGTTGCTCCGCGCAAGTTGCTCCGGCAAGTTGGTCCCTGCAAGTGGCTCCCTGCAAGTTGCTCTGTGTTGCGCTCCCTGCAAGTTGCTCTGTGCAAGCTGCTCTGTGCAAGTTGCTCTGTGCAAGTTGCTCTGCGTAAGTTGCTCTGCAAGTTGCTCTAGGCAAGGCGCTCTGCGCAAACTGGTCGGTGCAAGTTGGTCTGCGCAAGTTGCTCTGTGCAACTTGCTCTGCGCAAGTTGCTCTGCGCAAGTTGCTGTAAAATGCAAGTTGCATCTTGCGACGCCCGCCCGCGGACCAGGGAGGAATCGAACCCGCGACCCGCCGGTTCCGGGAGCAGGCGCGCGAACCACGAGACAACTCCCGAGGACCAGTTCGAACAACAAAAGTCGCAAAAAACCTCGAGTTTTTGCACCTCGACCACGCCGATCCCCGCAGAGGGTTGCGCGAGCACCGCAGAAATCGCAAAAAAAACCATGGGTTTTTGCACCTCGACCACGCCGATCCCCGCAGAGGGTCGCGCGAGCCGCAGAAATCGCAAAAAATCATGGGTTTTTGCACCTCGACCACGCCGATCCCCGCAGAGGGTCGCGCGAGCAGGTTAGAAACCGCAAAAAACCATGGGTTTTTGCACCTCGACCACGCCGATCCCCGCAGATCGAAATCAAAAAACCATGGGTTTTTGCACCTCGACCACGCCGATCCCCGCAGAGGGTCGCGCGAGCAGGTTAGAAATCGCAAAAAACCATGGGTTTTTGCACCTCGACCACGCCGATCCCCGCAGAGGGTCGCGCCGCAGAAATCACATGGGTTTTTGCACCTCGACCACGCCGATCCCCGCAGAGGGTCGATTTTCGTGTAGTGTCGTCGGCACTACCCCGCCGCCCTAAGAAGAGATTTTAACTCCTCGCAAGTCAATTGCACTTGACTCCTTGCACTTGCACTTGACTCCTTGCTTGTTTCAAGGAGTCATTGCAAGGAGTCATTGCAAGGAGTCATTGCAAGGAGTCATTGCAAGGAGTCATTGCAAGGAGTCATTGCAAGGAGTCATTGCAAGGAGTCATTGCAGTTCATTGAGAGCCATTGCAAGGAGCCAAGTGCATGGAGTCAAGTGCAAGTCGCAAGTGCACGGAGTTAAGTGCAAGAGTCAAGTGCAAGCAAGCAAAGTGTCAGCAAGTGCAAAGTCATGAGTGTCAAGTGCAAGCAAACTCCTTGTGCAATGACCTTGCAATCCTTTGCATGCAATGACTCCTGCAAATGACTCCTTGCAATGACTCCTTGCAATGACTCCTTGCAGTGACTCCTTGCAATGACTCCTTGCAATGACTCCTTGCAATGACTTTTATGATGATGATTCCTTGCAATGACACCTTGTAATGACTCTCATGAGAACAACTCAAGTGAACCCAGCGAAAGAACCCTTCGCCATGCTTTCGGGAACTCAAAGTGAATCCTATAGTATAGACATTTGGCATTCTCACACTTGAAGACAAACCCTATCTGTGTTAAAGCAGAAGGACCCAAGCAAGTGAGGCAACAAGGTGACAGTTCTTTTTGCTCTTGCCCTGAGCACACACACCCACACAGCCGGACCCCAAAAAAACGTCTCTAGCTCTTGCCTGGGCACCGGCTTGTTCCGCGTCTCCACCTCCACCCAAGTTCCGTCCGCAGGGTTGAAGACCTCGAATTTCGCGCATGAAGGCCGGAATAGATTTTTTGGGTGCCTGATGCGTACCTGCGCTGTGCTTCTTGTTGAAAATCAGCTCAGGCGATATCCCCAATAGCACCAGAGCAAGGCCCGACGGTGCAATCGGGCCGCGACTGGGGCCCGACGGTCGCGTGGTGCAAGCGGGCTCCCACCAACCCCAGCCACCTATATTTTAGCTCAACGCCGGTTTTCCTTATGATGAATCGGGGCCTGATCGGGCCCCGGCGGTGCAATCGCGCCCCGATGGTGCAATTGGGCCCCGACCTGGGCCCGGTGAACCTCGCAAACAGTCCTGTAAAACTGAGCGCGAAACTTTGTTGGAACCTTTCCTCAGGGCTGCCCCATAGCTTTTGCACAACCTGGTGGAAACCTCGTGTTCGTTTTTGGAACCTTACCCCATAGCTCGTGGAACCCTTGCAACCCCAAGCTGATGCCAAGCATATGCTCTGCACAGTGAGTCCCGCAGCAACGTGATCTGACTTCCCACAAAGCCAACACATTGATTTCGGTTTTGCTTAGTGTTCCGCCCATGAGCAAAGCGATCTTTTTTTCTGAGCTCTCAATTTACTGCTCCGATGGCTTTTCAGACGGCGGGCGCACGGCACACTACTTCCCTCCAAAGCCAACCACGGAACTTTGCAGAACATTTGTCCTTGTGGAACCTTGTAAAACCTAGTAAAAAACTTTGTGGAATCCTTGTAAAACTCTGTGGAACCCTGTAGAACCCTGTGAAACCTCACCCCAGGGCCGCCCGGAACCTTGGTGGAATTCTCATGGACCCATGGAACCTAAACTGAGTGGTGCAACCTGGTGAAACCTGGTGGAACCCCTGGTGGAACCCTCTTGGAACCTCGCCTCAAACCTAAAACCCTGAAACCTTACCTCAAACCACCCCGCACCACCCCGCTGCCATCGCAGAACCTGGTGGAACTCTGGTGGAACCCTGGTGGAAGCAAGTTTCAGCATCATCGGCATCCACAAAGAGCCAAAAATATACGTCCGAGCAATCCCGGATCAGCATCAGCGCCATCAGCCCCGGTCAGCATCCCCAGCATTCTCCGCATCACAAGCCTGCAGGCCTGCAACTTCCAGACCGAAACGCGGACGAAAAAACGGACGAAAAACCGCAGCCATGACACGAGGTTTCACACAAACTGGCCAGGAGTTGAACCCGGGACAAGCTTTGGGAGATCCTACCAAGCGCAGGGGATGGACCCTGAGCGCCCAACAGTCGCATCCAAGGGTCAAAGTACGGGCGACCCTTAGAATGCGGTTTGTGTGAATCGTGTCCTTTTTTGTGTTTGTTTTGGTGTGTGCCTTGTGGCAATGCTACTGATGTTGGCAATGATGGATATTCAGGCCGTGTGTGTCTGTTGGCAGTTTCAAAATTTAAACCCATCTCCTGTTTCCAGAAACATGCCAAATTGCTGCTACGCGCCCCCCCCCCCCTAATTATCTGCTTCTCTGTATTCACATCTAAGTCTGAATACACTCCGCACGCGCAACCCCTCACAGACAGGATCCTTTTCCAAAGCAAGAGCCCCATTCAAGTTCTAAGTCGAGGGGTGTACTTGGTTTTGGAAAATGTCCTCAAGCGTATGACGGCAACTTGGCCCGCAACAGAGGGGTCTCAAACCATTTGGCTGACTGTTTCGGTCTATCTTTGGGGAACCCTTTTCTGGCTAGTTCCAGGGAATGCAAATGGACAACACATTTGGAGGGTTCCCCGGAGACAAACCTTCTACCCCAAGAAATCACGGAAAAGATCCCAGACGGGTGTCTCAAACCGTCGCCCTTGCAACGTGAAAGGTCCGCGTAGCAAAAATGTGATGCTAGACAATGCAATGTGGCTATATGTGGAACCGCCTTGGGATGGTTTCAAAGAAAAACAGAAGCCAGACATCTGAAGAAGGCCCTAATTTTGAGATACACCCACGTATGTTTGAAACAAGCAGGCCAGCAAGACAAAAACAGAGACTCCCCCATTCAAACGGACACCACACGAAAACCAACCACCTCCTGTAGAACAACCCCAAAAAGGATCAGGGCCTCTAAACAACACCAGCCCGGGATCCCCAAGATCAGGCTCCCCGCCCAAAGGTCGTTCCTGAAGTGGCCGGAAGCGGGAGGTTGAACGCACGGACACGCCGGACGTGGATCTTGAAATACTCAGGCCAGCGGGACACTAAGCGGCAAAATCCAAACAAAGGGAAACCAACTTGACAAGGGAAACCGAAGTCGACCAAGCGGTGGTGCAGGAAAAATATGGGAAGCGGATATTTGAGGGGTGCACGCAATCTCAGAATCAGCCACTTGACTGGAGCGAAACTATATTATATGTGCTCTAGCGGCACCTCCGCAGTCTTTCTAGAATCATTGTGTCGAGAAAATGGTCAACCAACCAGAAGTCTTGCAAATTCTGCAATAGACAGGACCCTCATCTTCCTCGATGCCCGGGCGTCGTGAGACATGATGGGCAGCCACCACGGCACTCCGGCACATGGGGCGCAGACACAGCGGCGATTTATGGAAGAATCCCCAGTGGGCAGCACAGTTGGCCCAAGAACCTCCTCAGGGAGGAGGCAGAACAAGCCAAGGCGCGGAAGCTGCAGAACAGTGGAAAAACTGCCAGCGATGAACACACAGAGAAAGTAGTCCATCCTGTGCTGCCAGCAGCCGACCACAGCATGCATGGGAATCAGCAGGGACAGCTGAGGCCTCAAGGTGACCCGCACCACAACACACCCAAGACGACCCGCCAAGAGAGCAGACAGCAAGCCCAATACCTTCAGGAAGAAGATCTCCCCAACAACCCCGGCAACGAAAAACTCGGCCCTCTGCAATAAGAAGAATGCGATGCGCAACTTCCGAAGAAAGACCTCGCCTGCGCGGAAATAACGCGAGACAAGAGCACCACACACAAAGCCACCAGGTAGGTAGACAGGAAGCCCAGGCCCAAATCACTGCACACTGAAGCATAAAGCTGAGAGACACGCAGAAGGAAGAGTGGGGGCACGATCCATTCAAGGTGTGTCTCGTAGTCACTGCAAAGGAGGTCACGAAGCAGCAAAAGCATCCATCACTTAACAGACAGTCGAGGAAAGGCCACAATACACAAATGGCTTGCCTCCCAACTCGAAGCGCGAGCAAAAATACACACCATGGCTGCGGAATAAGCTGGTCCGGCTGAAATGCTGCTGTGTGTTGGCCTCCAGGGTCAGAAAGCTGCACAAATAACGCACCGAAACTTGCCCCAGGCAAAAGCAGAAGCGTCACGCAAAACCAGTGCGAAGTGCATAGTGAAGACGCCAACCAGGCCAACACGTCGCTGTTCCCCAAAAAGGCAGAGGCACACCCGGACTGATCAAGCGGCTGCAAGCTTCACGAACGTCGAGCGAGACCACAACGACGAAGAAGAGGTGCGCCCCACACCAAATCCAGTTCGGAGCGTGGATGAAGGGCAAAGCCTCCAAACACGCACAGCGGAAGGATCCATGAGGACAGGGAGCACCACGCGTGCCATGGCGATGCAACGCCGCCCCACGGAGCCACCGCCGCTTGGTAGACGCCAGACGCCTCTTGTGGAGAGGTCGCCTGGCTCTGGCTGGGCAAGCCTGAGGTGAGTTGCTGTGAGCCGAAACACCTAGACAGGACCCTCATCATGGTGAGTTTGAATTCCACGTGAGCTCGCCGTAACAAAGGCAGAAGCATTCTGCGGAAGGGAAGTGAGAGATGGCAAGGGGCACGTTAACCTATCTTCCACCATTCGGGGTGCACATTCACTTCAGAGCAGTTACAAGGTATTTGAGAAGCGGCGCACACAAAAAAATCTAGACAAGGGTTTTAACGAAGGGTTTTAACGATCCAAGCATCTAGAATTTCAAACAAATATCCCCATTCCTTGCGTCCCCAACAGAGTTGACAGACTGGGCCATTGGGCTGCGCCATGGGCGTTCTCGAGTTCTGCTTGCAGCTGAGGCAATCGTTTCAGAGACCCTCATCAAGAACAGACAACAAAGAAATAACGCCAAACACAAACGCCACCACAACCCCTGCGCCTTGACTGGACCTGCCGGCTCAGAAAGGGATCTGCCCTGTATCAGTTCACCTCCGTGGCAAACAAGGGACACCCCCGAAGTGCATATAAGAACCTTTGTAAATGAGGGGACCGTTCCTTCAAGTCGGAAAGTCCGCTCCTTCAAGAATAAATCCCTTTGACTTGTTCTTCCTGGGTCTGAACACAATGACTGTGTATCAAAATACCGTTGGCTCCTTCCTTTTCCCAGGACGCAAGTTTTGAGTGGAAACCCTGGCGCCAAACCACGTTCCCAGGTTGCCAAGCGGGAAAAAGAAGGCGGGCGCCTTTTGGGGGCCGGGTGTCGAATCCGCTGAACTGGGAGCTGACCAACCTTCTCAACGCGTTTTTTGTTTTTCCCTTGTTGGAGATCAATGGTTGAACCGATAAGAACAACTCATGCACCTTTCACGGGGTAGTACGGGAAGGGACACCTGTTAACGCCTCATTCAGTCCTTAGAATCTGCTTGCCCTTGAAGCCTTGAGTATTCTAACCCTGTTTACCTATGTATCGTCTACATTGGGACAACCGTCATCTTCACAGGGGTTGAACCGTTGGGCCTTCTTCACCAGTCGTCTAACCAAGCGAGGCGACGCGCCCGTTTCGAGCTTCGCCTCGAGAACTGCACGCTGGTCTCAGTGCAGCCACCCATCAGCACCAGCTTGCCTTGCGGCAGCGGCTCTGCCGACCACTCAGGGATGTGAAACGCGAAACCCTACAAATAGTGGGATATATCATTTGTGGCTGCGCATCCTTCATGTTGACCCTCGAAGGGCGCATGAGCTGTGCCTGCCTGAGCTGTGACCCACCCTTCCGCAGCCTCTCGCTGAGGCTCGGGCTGCTGTTCTGCACAGGCGTGGCGGCCTCTTTCCTCGAGAATCCCCGGGAGGAAGAACTCAGAACCGGCCCTCCCAGGCGTTGTGTTGCCTGGTTGCTTTGCCAGTGGTGTTTGCTTGCTTGGTTGGTTTGTGGAAAGCGCCAGCGCCTGGTTCTGTTTGTTGCTTGCCACCCCGCCAGTGAAAGATTATGAAATTTGTCTTCGCGCAAAAAGCATTCTTCTAGGGTTTAACCAGGAAAACTCCTTGGCAACCTCAGCAGACGGGCCGCAACTCAAAGCGAGCAAGGGCTGGCGGAAAACCTTGGGCCCACGCAAATAAAGGTTTTCCCAACAAACCTGTACTGCGAAGGTCTTAACAGACCTTGATTGAACATGTGCTTCCCTCGCGTTTATATTTCGTTTATCCCTTAGATGCTTCAGGGATCCTTACATTATACACCTGAACATTGCCTTGTAAATGGGGGTTTCCCTTTACTTTGGTGGAAAAAGCCATGTTTCAAATGGGCAAAATGTATCTTTTAAGGAGCCCTGTGCTTGTTAGTCCTGGTAGTGCATTGAAGTGACATCCCCAGAATGACACTCCAAAACGGTTGGTTTATCTCGAAATATGAAACCCACAAAAATGGGTGATTTCCAGCTGGTTCCCTTTACAACCAAGCAACAAAGGACCTTGTCAAGAAAGGACGCCATCCCCAAGCTTTGAGGACTCCTCAACATCCTCACTTGGGACCCAGTTCAACTGATAGGTGGTGTGTGTGTGTGTGTGCGCGTTTCTTGGGCAACCTTTTCACAACCAAACAGGAACTCCCCCTCCCCGCCCTCCCCGCCCTCCCCCCCCCCCCCGATGACCCTATGACTTTTGGGGCAACCAAACCCCAGTTATGTCGGGAGCCGAGAGCCACGCCACCGGCCCAGCGGCCCTGAAGTCTCGAAGCGGAACCTCCGATGGGACGGGTGGGGCTCTATGGTTTCGGGATGGAGGGCATCGTTTTGATGCTACGGTTTTGGTTTTGCGGGATGGATATCGTCTTGCGCTTGTCACTTGTTCAGACTTAGGGAAACAGCCAGGAGGGAATGCTGCGGCTCACGGCAAAGCCGAAAGACGAGTCTAGCCATGTTTCTTGGCTAAGGGCGGTTCCCAGCTGCCTTCAGCCCAAAATCAGAACCACCAGTTAGTCTTGGCGCCTCCTCAAACTCTCATGGTTTGGGCATGCGCATGTTCATGTCTTGTCAACCTAATGTCAGTTCAAGTGCACACGCTTTGCTCGAATGTCCGGGCCCCATGAGCGGGAAGCCGGATTTGCGTGAAAGGCATGTTGGGAGAGCGCAGAACGCGTCCAAATTCAGAACAATGCTGCCTAGCAACGCTTGAAAGCTGCGTCAAAGCGTGTGATACACTGCCTCATGTCAACTGTACCAGGTCAACGTTTCTCCTGCGCAAACTCTTACTCTGCAGGGACCTTGGCATATGTGGCGAGCCTCTGCAGAGTGCCCCAGGCTCCGGGGCATGTGCCAGAGGCATGATTCACTGCCAGCTCTCAGAACGTGAATTAAGACTGTTGCCATTGTTGATAAGATTAGCCGTCTTACCGAAGCAAGCTCAATGAGCAAACAATCGAATCAAGAGTTCCTGGCTTCTCGACGACCACCTCAGCTGCCGACGTAGGAGAGCAACCGTTTAGGCTTATTGCACTCCCCAACTTGACACAAGGCGACACACACAGAAACACTGACACAGACACAGACACAGACGCAGACACACACAAACACAAACACAAACACAATCGCGATCACAAGCACAAACACAAACACGAACACAAACACACCAAAACAGAAACAGAAACACAACGACAAACACACACAAACACAAACACAAACACAAACACAAAACACAAACACAAACACAAACACAAACACAAACACACACACACACACACACACACTCACACACACACACACACACACACACACACACAGAGCCGCGTGCGCGCCCGCCCGCCCGCCCGCCCACACCAACGCACGCACGCCCTGCCGCCCACTCACACACGCACAAAACACACTGAGGAAGCTCAAGCTCGTACATGGCTTGAGGGAACGTTCAAACGTCAAACATCAAACAGGCACTGGATTGCCAAGCATATGGATCTGTTGGAACGTGATGGCTCCTGGCTTACAGGTTTTTACTCAGCATCATGTTATGCGACAAGCTTAGCCTCATGTCATGTAGCACAAAAGGTGGATTTCCTTCACTCCCTTCAAAGATAAATGACAGATACAAAAACGGCAGCTTCTGGAAGATGACTGTCATGCCGCGAAGGCATTCTGAAATGGTTAGATCATAAAAAGTTCAAATCAAAAAACTCGAAGCGCGCCGCATGTGCCAAACGTGCCAAAATTGGCGCGGATGTGGCAGAATTTGGCAATTTAGATCTTTATATGCTTCGCTTGGAGGTTTTGGGCTCAGCCTCATGCCATTCGACGAAGCACACCAGAGGGCAAAGAGGGGACCTTTGTGTGTGTGTGTGGGTGTGTGCGTGTGTGCGTGTGTGCGTGTGTGGGTGCTTGGGTGCGTGGGTGCGTGGGTGCGCGGGCGCGCGGGCGCGCGGGCGCGCGGCGCGCGCGCGCGGGCGGCGCGCGCGCGGCGCGTGCGCGTGCGGGCGTGCGCGTGGGCGTGCGAGCGGCGGGCGTGCGGGCGTGCGGCGTGCGGGCGTGCGGGCGTGCGGGCGTGGCGCGTGCGGGCGTGCGGGCGTGCTGCGGGCGTGCGGGCGTGCGTGCGGGCGTGCGGGCGTGCGGGCGTGCGGGCGTGCGGCGTGCGGGCGTGGGGCGGGCGGCGCGTGCGTGCGTGCGTGCGTGCGTAACTGCGTGCGTGCGCGCGCGCGCGCGCGTGCGTGCGTGCGCGCGCGTGCGTGCGTGCGTGGGTGGGTGGGTGGGCGGGTGGGTGGGTGGGTGGGTGGGGGGGTGGGTGGGTGGGTGGGGGGTGGGTGTGTGTGTGTGCGTGCGCGGGCATGTGTCCTTGAGCAAGCGCAAGGACACACACACACACACAGCACCTCCTGCCGCCCGCACACACACATACACACACACACACACACACACACACACACACATACAGACACAACCCCGCGTGCGCGCCCGCCCGCCGCCCGCCCGCCCGCCCGCCCGCCAGCCAGCACACACACACACACACAGACACACCCGCACGCACACGCCTGCCCGCTCGCCCGCCCGCACGCCCTTCCACACACGCCCTTTCACACAGACGCACTCACACATGCAGTCACGACACACAGACACACAACCACACCATTCCTTTTCTTGATCTAGTTCCGAGGCCTGATGTCTTTGGCTTTCGGCCACATGCAGAGGTTTTCCCTTCCAGGGCCCAGACTATCCACATCTGCAAACCACTGTTGAAACATTCGCATGTCGGCCACTTCCAGAATGCCAAGTCCTTACTCCTCACCAATCTTTCTACCATTGGGCTGTGTTTTTGGCGGTACCATTGGATGGGGGGCCTTTTCAAGGACAACCGAGGGGAAACCAGTGCCCAGGGCCTAGGCGTCTTCCATTCCCATTCACCCAGTTGGGTTCCCGGACCATTCACCCTGGTCTACCTCATAGCGCCACACATCCGAGAACATCTCGACCTTGGCACTTGGCGCCAATCCAGTTTGGCACAGTTGTAGTCTTAGTCTGGAACTCCGTTCTCTTTTGCAAAACATGCAGATCCATCGTGGATTCTTCCCCTTTCAAACAAAGGGAACTCCGCCATCTACTTTGCCGAAGGTAACAACCCCCACCCTGGTCTTGCGCCCCTGGGCAAAATTGTTAGAAACCCCGCAGGTTTTTCAGGCCCCCAAACCTGAGCCGGTTCTCAGCCTATTGCCCATGTCTCGTTTTTGGCATACCTTCCGGAGGTTCTTCAAAGCGCTCCGTTGTGAGGAAACTCTAGTGTATTAGGTTGGAAAAAACGGAGGCTGATTGGAATTGAAATCAGCCTCAAAGGGTACCCAGCCAAAAACAACACTCGCATATATTGTAGGTGTGAATTTGGGTCCATGGGACAACATGGGGGTCTGTGTCCACCAAACATTTGTGAGGCTAGTCCAACCAAGCTTCAAAGCCACATCCTTCTGAGTGGTTTGCAAACTCGGGACCCACTGTTTGGTGTCCGTGTGAGCAAAGTCCAACGGAAACCAGGAAATGCCAAGAACCGACAGTGGCAAGTGACTTTGTGGATCAGTGGTGGAAGTTCTTGGTCATGAATAAAGCCCACCAGTGGTTTCTCGCAATACTTGCAGAATCCATCCATTTTCCAACCATCCATACTGTGGATGGACGAAATCCTGCACCAGTTGGTTCGTGGTTTGTCCCATTATTTTTAGGGTGTCCTCTATCGAATCCCAAGTGCTGCAAGACTTCGTCACAGTAGTTTCTCAGAGATGTTCCATGGGTTTTCGGCGGGAGAAGTCGTTGGCTGATTCTGTTTCTGGGCGGGAGATTGATCCGTTTCGCTGTAGGTTTGTGTGCCTCCGCAAACGGGTGCTTCCTTTTCTTGACAGTACCCCCTTTTGGTTGCTTTTAAGGGGACCAGAAAGAAAACGCCCATTTTGGGGGGGGCACTAAATCACGACACACCCTAAGCAAAGTGTTTGACAAAGTTTTTGGCAGAAGGGGTGCGTTCCCACATTGGATGAGGGCTTGAGTGACGTCCAAGAGTCTATGGTTTCCATTACCCCCCCCGCCCCAAACCAACCCCCCCCCCCCGCGCCCAAGGGAAAATGGGACAAATAGCCATGTCGTGGGTGTGGAGGTTGTGGAAACAAATTAGAACTAGATGAACAGCCATGGAAAGATACATGCACAGGTGCCTGTATGAACAGGCATCGCCACTTCCAGCTCAAGCTTGGCCCAACCACAGAGTAGCGACCAAGATGTTCAAAGGATCACCTGTATATTTAGTCAACCCTAAGACTCTCACTTGCTGAGTGGATGGCCCAAACAAAGTACCCAAACTTTATATTTGCCACTAAAATGGTCTTCCCAAAAAAGTTTAAAGATCATGAACTCAGGAAGTGAGAAGATGCACATTTGCCATTTGGAGGAGACCCCACGGCGGAATCCATAAATTAAACCTCACCTTCTCCGACTGTCAGTTTGGCTCATGCGATTGTATCCCCCAAACCCCGGCCAAATCCATCTGCCGCTTTTTCCTGACGGCTGAAACGCACACCGGGTCTCAACGCGAAGCGCGACGGCTCAAGCAACGGTCCCAGAGAAAGGGGTACAAAAGTTAGACTAGACCTTGCCCATCTTTTTTCTATAAAAAAACCTAGGGTCCTCCCCACACTTTTAGCAACATTTTAAAACAGCACCTCAAAAAGCACATTTTCAAAAATCAACATTTTAAAGCAGGCAATTTCCTAGTAAGTTCATCCATATTTTAAAAAAATAAATTTTACAAAATTTTAAAAAAGAAATTTTAAAAAATAAATTTTAAAAAATAAATTTTACAAAAAAATTTTTAAAAAAAAATACATTTTAAAAAATAAATTTTAAAAAATAAATTTTACAAAATAATAATAATATAATTTTACAAAATATAATTTTACATTTTTTTCAAAAAATATTATTCCAAAAATTATGATAAATTATTTTACAATAAATTTTATCACAATTTTTGTAGACATATTATGGGCAAGGTTATGTTTATTCGTTTTTTACGGGCACCATTCTTCTTTAATTCTTTCTATTATTTTATCACACGTTGTTTCATTATAAATATTACTTCCTATTTGTTTTCTAAACATTCCCATTATTCCAATTGCACGTGTTATTGTATATCTAAGTTCGTGAGTTTTATACTCATCATTTAAAAACTCATTTAAAAAATCAAACAATATAACATATTTTAAACGTTTAATATTAAAAGAAACGTTATATATATTTTTTTACCATACTATAATACTTAAAAATAAAATCATTATTATATCCTTCGTCATCACACTCAGTTAGTAAATTATCAAACCCTTCTATAGTTAAGAAATTATTCATTACAATAAACACAAATATTTCTAAATCATCATCAATAGTTTCATTATTTTTAATATCAATATCTTTGTTATTCATATCATCAATTTTGTTTATAATTCTATTGCAATTATTGCATATCATGTATTGACAAATATGATTACACACGCCATTTGTAAAACCGCGTTCAATTGGTAATTTTAGCATTTCACAGTCTTTGCATTTATAACTCATAAACCTTTTTTTCAATATATTTTTAGCATCGTGGACTGTATCACTCATCAAACTATATAATAGTATTATAAAATATTTCTTTAAATACTTTTTACAAGAATTTTAATTTTAAATTAAAATTAAATTAATAAATTAAAATTATAATTATATTATCATAATTAAATTAAAAATTATCATCATTTACAACTACAATTGCATAATTTACAAAATGGGATGATATTTTCTATTGTATGAGTTAATTCATTATCTTTTCGTTGTGCTGTTAGATTTGTAATGATATTACCATTTTTCATATCAATAGTAAAACCACATCCGCAGTAATTACATTGATTATTTATATTATCTAGAAACCATTGAGTATTTACATAACCTTCTCTAGGTATGCTTCTTTTTGCTTTCCTGTCTTGTTCCTTATAATTCAAAATTTTCCTTTCAAAATAACTCATAATACATTTTTGATTAAATACATCATCAACATCCTTTGTATATTTATAAAATTTGACTTTGTTTAAATCACGAGCACGTGTTACCGCTGTAAAAATCCATTCTGGATAATTCTTTACCAAAAAATGATTATAATCAAAAATTGTTATGGTGTCATCAATGCTACTACCTTGAGTAGAATGACATGTAGAGCAAGAAGAAAATATAAAATTGCTTCTTATTTTAGCAATTTCTACGGATTGTAAAATTTCGGTTTTTACATCTTTTAATGTAAATATTCCATCACTTCCAATATGAACTATTTTATATTTGAAATTTGCATTAAAAACTGATGTTTTAGTTTTAGTATATTCTCTACAAATTAAAAATTCTCCTACTTCATATTCATCTTTTCTATTTTCTAATTTTCTAATTTCATTTGATACATTTTTACAAGTTGTATTCAAAAATGCTATGTTGTTTTTGGAACTACTTATGTCTGTGGTGTATTCAAAATATTTTTCAATAATAGTTTTAATTGGTAATTTATTAATAAAAATATCATATTTTATATTCTTGAGTTTATCCTTATCTTCCTGTGTGTTAAGTCTCTTACATTCTTTCAATATTATATTATGTGTAAAAATATTATCTATAATATTGTCAGTGTATAATTCATAGTCTTGAGTATTTGTTATTTCTTGCACTGGTTTTAATTGCTTGGTGTCTCCTGTTGCTATTATAATTTTGTTGTGCTTATTCTGTTCTACAAATTGTTTTATTCTCCAGTATATATTTAAATTACTAAAATAGATTTCATCAAATACTATTACATCAAATTCTGTAAAATCAAATGGTTCTAATTTAGCATCTCCATAATTAATACCAAAGAATTTATTTATCGTCATTGCTTCTCCTTCAAATGCCTGTAATAGTTTATTAGTAGGACAAATAAAAATTACCTTATAATTTTTATCAACCATTTTTTGACATATATATGATTTTCCTGTGCCCGGTAGTTCACCTCTGATCATAATAGGATTATTCTGTTTAACAATCTCTATAATGTTATCAGTGTCGTATTCATCTTTAATATCAATAGTTTTACTTTCATAAACTGGTATGTTTATTAATTCATTATTTACAACGTTAAATTTTACTGTAGGTAAATTAATTTCGTCTCTCTGCTTTGAAACTTTCCAACCTCCTATATCATCATGAAATTCTAATAATTGCTTTGTTTTTTCTTCATTGCATGTATCAATTACAAAAGCATCTGTTTTTACACTATATACATTAATATTATTAGTTATTAATGTCTTAAAGTCTTGGTTCATTTTAAAATTGTGATGTTGTAAAAGTAATTCTTTAATATATCGATATCCGTTTCTTAATACTGCCTTATCCTTCAAATTCAATATATAATATGATGCCTTTACATCCCATTCATCCTCATCAAATCCATAATATGTTGTAGTTGCGCCTCCTTCGTCGTCATATTCGGTTATCATTTCGGGATATTCGCTTATAATATGCGATAACTTATTAATTTTACCTCCGTATTCTGTTTGATAATGGACTGCTTCATCAATACTTTTAAATAAAATACTTTGATGTGCTGTAGCGCCTCCTTTTTCTAATAATCCAAAATTGACATTTGCTATTAACTTTTTATTTAGTTTATCTAATGCTTCGTCATGTTCATCTATATTAGTTTGTAAAAGTTCATTAATAATATTTGTATATTCGACCTTATGAATAAATGAAGGTTGTTTATAATATAAAATATTGATTTTGTGTGTCTTATTCTCATTGATGAATTCCTTTAAAAACTTGCCATATACTAGATTATATTTTTTGTTGAAAATAAGTTGTGATTACCACTTATTACAATGTTTCTAATTGCTTGTTTTAATTCATCAGGATTTAAAAACAAACTTAAATCATGTGTTTTACGAA